GGGGGGGGGGGGGGGGGGGGGGGGGGGGGGGGGGGAAAGACTCACATATCCAGAAGTTGACAAAACTAAGTCTAGCAGTGAGCACCGGCAGATGGCACGTGTCCTCCGTTTCGGACGCTAAGAGCCAGCGGACGGCATGCGTCAGAAGGGAGGTTGAGGGGAGTTGGGAGCGCGTTTCTCGCTCATGATTCCGAGCAGCAGGTTGGCGGGGGAAACACACTAGGTCGGAGGAGGTGGTCGTGTATACCGCTGTTGTAGTAAGTGGGAACCCGAAAGGAAGGGGAGGGGAGGGAGGGAGACGTACCCCACCAAAGGGCGGCTACTCCCAGAAAGATAGCGCCTGTGAGGAACAGAACCCGGTAGAACACGCGTTTGTTCCCTGATGCGATTTGTGCGCTTTCCGAAGTCAGTATGCGCCTGAGAGCGGGGTGGGCCTTACCGGTGCCTAGAGCATATCTGACGGGAGAGGAACATCCCCCCGACGTTGACCAGTATCGCTAACACGGCTAGATGCGAATGAGCATCAAGAAGTCGCCCGCACGGAAAAGAACATACCAAGCCCCCCTGACCAGCTGCTCCATTTCCCGCTTACCGCAAGTTGGGAGACTAAAATCAAAGACAAGAACCAAGTAGAGACAAGCACTGGCAGTTGGGGCCCTGCGTAGTTTGAGTACTAGTAGCTGAACATGTGAGTGAGGGAGGAGCGCACAGATTATCCTTGGCAGTGGGGTTGGGGCGACTACGGGAGTGGGGAGCTCCTCGGGCTTTGGTTCGGCGGACATTGGTTGGTGGTAGGTTTTGATGGTATGTGAGAGTTACAGGAGGTATGGCGAGGGGAGGAACGGGAGGACTGGGACTGGGACTGGCCCGATTTCCAATTTCCGATTTTCACGGCAAGTTTGGAAAATGCTGTGTGAAATTCGCTTCGTATCAGTTCTTGAAAGTATCTCCGCCTTCAAGCTGCGTATCTTATCTCCGACTACCTAAAATGGATAAGGCCATAATAGAAATAAGAGCGACCTAGACTGAGATCATCAAATTGCAGACTCCATACACGAATCCCATTCCATTCCTTCCTTTCGTCACTATATATCCTATCCTACTTTCACGCTGCCGCCTCAACAGCAGCAGCCGGGGCAACCGCCACTTGCACTTCCTCCCCCTCCACCGCTTGCGGTACAGGCTCATACCCCGCCTCTCCCGCCCAAGTAGGGGTCATCAGCACCTCCCCCTCCGGATGCCTATACAGCACAAAGAGCAGCGCCCAGCCAAAGACGGGCTTGGTGAGAATGTCCAGCAGGGTGTTGGCTAGGAACTCAGCTTTAGGGCCGAGGAGGTTGAACCAGGAGCCGAGGAGCATGAATAGCGGGTAGGGAACGAAGAACAGGAGTTCGAGCGACAGGAGGATCGTATATGGCCTTAGGAGGGCGGGGGAGCGCTGGGCTACGCTAGTGCGTGCGGGGATGAAGAGCGTGAGGAGGGGGTAGAGGAAGGAGAGCAGAGAGAGGAGGAGCCAGCCCCAGGCTGCGTGGTGGGTGTGTAGGTGGCCTGTATGCGTCAGGTTGGTGAGTGAAACGGAGGGGAAACAGGGCGCACCTCGATGGAACCCGCTGTGGATCACTGCTGTCCCTATCCCACCAAACACTTCCAGAGCGAACCCGGTTATAGCCAAGAGGACGATCCTGTACGCCTGCAAGCCCGCAAACGATCCCAGGGTTACAAGGATCAGCGGGGTCGTAGCTGCATACTGTACGAATCGACCGTAGAACACTTGTCTTGCTATGAGCTTGTCCGGCGTGCCGAGGAACTGGAATGCGAAGCCGAGGTTAGTCGCATAGGAGTAATAGGCAGCAAGTGAGACGATAGAGATGAGGGTGAGGAGGATAGGCAGGAGACGCTTGTGAGTCGGACGGTGAAGGGTAGAATAGAGGAAACAGAGGAGTGCGAGTGTGTAGAGTGCGACTGCTATCCAGCTGACAACCCGTCCGAAAGTGCCGACTGTAAGGAACGTCACTGCCTGTGGGGGCAAGTGGGGGCTAGGGGTAGGGGAAGGGATTGGCTCAGGGAGAGTTGCTGTGCCTGTGATGGTGGCCGTTGCAGAGGCGAGAGATGCAGAGGTGAGGATGTTGACAACTTGATGGAATTCCATTGTCGTCGTTGTCGTCGTCGAGGGGAGAGAGGGAGGCCACGAGCAGTGGTGGGAAGGGGATATATACCGATTCCGGTGGGTACGGGCGATCACCTGATCTTGCTGTTCAACCAATGAGAGGTCAGCCACCCAAGACCATGGATGATCATGGCGAACGTGACCTCATCAATCACAAAAGGAAACTGCGGAACCCTGAACTGCGTTGTTGACGTCATCATCACACATTCCCCTTTTGGACACTGAATAACAATTTGATTTCCCTTAACCATACCCAAATTTATTCAACCCACAACCCATGTCAACCCAGGCGTTTACTCTTCGTCAAGGATCTGTACCTTGATACTCCCCTTGGTGATATCGCTCGCAGTGTCGAAGGCTTCCATGGCGTGCTCCAGCGAGTATCGATGCGTCACCAGCGGCTTGAGGTTCAGCAGTCCACCAGAGACGAGGCGGATCGCTTTCGGGTACTGGATGCATGTTAGCTACTACTCATAAGGGTAGTGTAAGGAAGAAGAGGGCACACCTGGTTGGCGTACCGGTACTGGAACTTGAGGTCGATCTCGTTTGCGCTCAGGTGCATAAAGGGCATGCTCTGCATCTCCTTCCCCACACCGATGACGAATACCATCCCTCCAAACCGAACGCTCTGGACTCACAGAATCAGTCATTATCCCGTCTGAAGCGAGGGACGCACGTAGATAGCAGCATGCACGCTACTTTCTACCCCGGTACATTCCAACGCTAAGGAGGGCTCGATGCCCAGCGTCGCACGCACACGCTTAGCCACATCCTTGCTCGTCTCCTCCCTCTTGATGAGTATAGTCCGCACAGACGGCACAAGCTGTTTCGCGAACTCCAGCCTCGAAGCCGCCAAATCGGTGATAACGATCGGTTCCGCGCCTGACGCCCGAGCGCAGAGAAGTGTCACCAGGCCCTGGGCACGTAAGCATATCATCTAATCATCCGTTAGTAAGGAAGAGACGTACGATAGGTCCCGCGCCGCAGATCAGGAGAGGGTCGCCCAGGCGTAAAGAAGACCGCTCGATGCCTGCCAGGGCGACGGTGAGCGGCTCGAGCAGCGCCCCCTCTTCGAAGGAGACGTTGTCCGGCAGCCTGTGCAGCCATGCAGCGGGGTGGAGGTGATCTACCCATGACTCAGTCTATCACACGGAATAAGAGCAGGGGGACGCACACCGAGTCAGCGTCCCATGATACGGCGGGGTACTGAAGAACACCACATCCGGGCAAGCGTTGTATCTCCCCGTGCGGCAAAAGTCACAGCTGGGCAATGAGCACGGTACGCCAGCCTCGATGGCCACCCTATCCCCGACTTTCCACTTCGTCACCCCTTCCCCGACGGAGAAGACCGTGCCGGCGGACTCGTGTCCCAGCCCGTTCTCGTTACACACGACCATGTCGCCTATCCGGCCATGCTTCCAGAAATGCACGTCTGATCTGCGACACCCAAACCATCCCGTCGACAATTAGCGATCACAACACCTCTTTCTTCTATGGGGAACGCACCCGCAGATCCCCGTAGCGCGGACATGTACCACCACCTGCCCCTTACCCGGTACCGGCACGGGTTTCTGCACCAAATGCAGCTCGTGCCCGGGGTTGGTGAACGCTCCTAGGTTCTGTTTCCCGTCCCTGGGGGGAAACTGCCCGTGGGGAAAGATGTGGAACTGCGAGGAGTTGAGCGTCGTCGCCGGGTCGTAGAACGGGTTGATGGGGGCTGCCATCGTCGGCTCTTCAATAGGTTGGGATGAGCGGTGGGAGACAGCCTGGGTAGAGCTAGCAGGTCAAGAGCATTTCGACGAACACGCCATCAGGGCATGGGGGAGGAGGAGGCAGGGTCCGAGGCCGCCTGACCGTTGAACACGCCGGAGGAGGAGAGCCGAGGCGTGGGGGAATAACATACCGTGGCCCATGTGGGAGAATGAATTGATGGACTGCAGGTTCTATTTACATCTTTCCCCTTGGCATCTGGCCGGATCTTGCGCTTCTGACCTTATTCCTTTGTTACATGAGCGCTTTGGACATCCCCGGCACAGATTCGGAGAAAGAACCTTTCCTGCCTGGGTTGGTAGACCTAGAACCAACACGTACTGTTTCTGACTCACACCGCTGATTAGCATTCCTCTACGGGAACGGAAAGCTACCTGGAAAGCGTCGCGCTGCGCGTGGATCTTGCTCCTAGGCCTCAACGCCTTTTATCTCGCTGTACGACTTCTCCAGCCCCGTTTATTTATTCTCATACACTCTCCAGTCCCGCGTATGGCCCTCCAACACAAGCCGATGTAGTCCCACCACCCGCATCTGCTGGGCCCCTTGCGGTCCTAACATTGACTGCAGCCAGCTCATCGTCCCTCTAGACTATACAAACCTCTCCTCTCCGTCTATCTCCCTCTCCCTAGCCCGCTACCGAGCTACGGCCCCCTCCCTGGGCTCGCTCATCATCGAGCCTGGCGGACCGGGCGGATCGGGGACGCAAATGGTCTGGAACTCCGGGGCGAAGATCTCGAGAGTCGTAGAGGGACGGTATGACATAATCGGGTTCGACCCGCGAGGGATCAACAACAGCGAGCCAAAAATCGAGTGCTGGGCGACAGAAGAAGAACGCGCGGTGTTCCACAGGGCCATCTTAAAGTTGCCTAGTGATGCGAAGAGCAGCCTTGCGGAAGTGGACGCGTGGTACGAGTAGGTGGACTTCGTTCGGATTGATGGGAACTAGGCTGATGTGCGAAGGGTGTGGGCTAAAGGGTGTAGTGAGAGGTCGGGAGAGGCGATCAAGCATGTCTCAACTGCGTTTGTCGCGAGGGATGTTGACCAGCTGAGGGAGGCGCTGGGGCAGGAGAAGCTCATGTACTGGGGTGAGGTTGAGCAACGTATACCGGTATGTTCCCTGATAACGTCGGTCGGGTGGTGCTAGATGCGTGCGAGTACCCGGTCGACGGTCGCTCTGCTATCATGTGGGGCAAGACCTCTCTGGACGACACTGTGCACGCTTTCGAAGGTGCTTCCTCCCTCCACCTTGCTCTAACATGTACTCATGCAGCTCAGCGTTCCTCGACACCTGTGCTTCAGTTGGGCCATCTCGTTGCCCGCTTGTCAAAGTCGAAGGAACGACGGCTGTGGACCTGCGCCTGGAGGTTGAAGGGCTGCTTATGGACCTCTCGCACCGCCCTCTTCCTGTTACGCAAGGCGAGCACAGAGGAATCGTCACCAGGTTCGGCGCGTTGTCCTACCTATATTCTTCCCTCTACAGGCCGAACGCCGAGTGGCCCCGCCTTGCGGAGGTTCTTGATGCGCTCATCACCCAGCGGAACGGGAGCCTGCTGTTGCAAGAGCTTGCGTGGGAGAACGGGCTTCCGCCTCATGACGAAGAGGGAACAGCGGTACTATGTAGCGACGCCGTCCCCGCTAATATGATCAGTCTGGAGGAGTGGGCGTCCCAAACGCGGGAAATGGTAGAGAAGAGCTTTATTTCTGGCGAATTTCGGAGTTTGTACACGCTGCCGTGCAGGACTTGGCTCGGTCGGCCGAAGGAGAGGTATGTGGGGAACTTCAGCCAGAAACTCGCCCACCCCATACTGTTGATCGGGGGGACGCATGATCCTGCAACCCCATTGAGGAACGCGAGAAGGCTGGCGCACGATATGGGAGACAGTGCCAGGTTGATCGTGCACCATGGCTTGTAGGTCATCTCCATGCCCGGGAGCGGATATTGATAACAAGTCAGCGGTCATACGTCAACCCGACACGTCTCGAACTGCACGACGCAAGCCGTCCGCGACCTGTTGCTCAAAGGAATCCTCCCCGAAGCGGCGGAAACGCATTGTTTCCCCTCGAAAGAACTCTTCCCCGTTGGGAATGAGTTCGATGTGGCGGATGTGGAAGAGAGGGAGATATTGCGTGCTATGAGGGATATTGGGATGAGCGTGGCTGCGCGTTGGTAGTGCGCAGCGAGTGTTGTTATAGAAGACCAAGGTTAGAACGCTGCCAAATGACAATGCTCGAGGGTGAAAGAAGATGCTGTCTTATCAGTCGAGGACAGCAGATGAAGTGCTCACCCGAGTAGCTTGAGTTCCAAGGTCTCTGGTCGCAAAAGGAGTGTTGTTTAGCATACTGACATGGGTTTCACAGACGGTGTCTCGCCGTTCTCATCTGACGACGTTTTCTATAAATGCTCAAGCCTTGAATTCACGTATTCGAAGATCAGAGCCTGGGTTGGAGCACTTGTTGATAGAGCTGCTTGCATGAGCATCTTTTCTGAGCAAGGATAAACAAGTCCTATTTTCAGGTGTTGATAGCATTAGAGAAGAGGTAGGTGCTTGATGGGCTTCTGAGAAAACAATCAACCGTTGCTTCCGCATCCCGATTCACGATCCTAGACAATGCACGTGTGAAACCCTTCGCCGTCCTTGAGCTTCCCCTTGTGCTCTTGCTCCTTTCCTCTCTCCCCACCATGTCCCGCCCCAAGGCGCAGCGCATCCACCCATCATCCATATCATCAATGTCTGAGCTGCCGGCTTACCCACCAAGCTACCACGAAAAGGAGGAGGAGCGAAACGACGAGGAAGCGGAGGGTCTGCTTACAGGAGAGTATAGCCCCGAGGCCAAATCAGCGGACCTGCAATCCCTCTCCACTGCTTCCCTCTTTCGTACTGCTGGAATATGCATCAGTGTCATCCTCTTCGGGTTGTTGGCGGGAAAGGCTGTCTCGGGGTTGTTCAGGCTTGGAACGCTCGTCGAAAGTCCGCAGAAGTCGGAGAACGGAGATGTGCTCTTAAACAATGGAACCCATCAATTTAGGAGTACGGTGATCATGGTCTCTCTGGACGGGCTGAGGTACGCTGCCTCATCTCTACAGTTGTTATCATCCATTCATCATATGACATCATAGAGCAGACTACGTCGATCGTGGTATCACGCCGCATCTGCTGGAAATCAGCAGACAAGGACTTCGTGCTAAGTACATGAAGCCTGTATTCCCTGTACGTAGTCACCCCTGTGTTACACTATGCAATGACTAACGCCGGGAATAGACACTTACATTCCCCAATCACTGGTCTCTCATGACCGGCTTATACCCCGAAACCCACGGCATCATCGCGAATGTGCATACATCTGTCTAATGCGCTAGCGAATGCTGACTTTATGGCAGGACTTCTGGGACCCCGTGTCAACGAAGGAGTTTGTTTACACAGACCCAGAGAGATCGTGGGATCCGTATTGGTGGTCTGGCGAGCCGGTCTGGGCCACAGCAGGGAAAGCGGGACTGACGACTGCCAATCTGATGTGGTGCGTTCGGGACTTCACACCATGCACGATTCATGCTGAATGTCTTGTGAGGCCTGGTCCACCCGTGCACCGATCTGGACAGACACCGACGTACTATATCCCGTTCTCTCTCAACTTGACAATCGACGAGAAGCTGGAGCAGATATTCACTTGGCTGGATTACCCGCTGGATGTGAGACCAAGATTGATCACCGCGTATTCACCAGATGTGGATATGATGGGCCATCTGGGTGGACCCGATTCAGAGGAAGTAGCGGCACGTCCGTGAAATATCCGCGCATTTCTACTTGCTTACATTTCCCAGGCGTCGTTGAAGGACGTAGACGTGTTCGCACGCGACCTGCACGCCGGGCTCAAAGCGCGCAATCTAGACCAGATCGTTTCCGTCATCTTCGTCTCGGACCATGGGATGACATCAACTTCCAACATCCGCCTTGTCTACCTCGACGACATCCTCGGACCTGACCTGGTCTCCCGGATCGCGCACGAAGACGGCTGGCCAAACGTGGGTCTACGTTTCCCATCGGAAGTAAACACCTCCCATGTGCTCGAGCTGCTCGAAAGTGCTTCGCTCCGTACCAACAGCGGTTTCGGGGTCTTCACGCCAGACACCATGCCCGAGAAATGGCATTTCCGAGCAGATGTGAACGAGCGCATTGCTCCGATCTTCGTTGCGCCGCACCTGGGGTGGGCGATCACGAACCATCACGAGCACGAGGTGATCATGGCTGGGGACTATACGCCCAAAGGGAACCACGGGTACGATAATGACGAGCCGGACATGCACGCGATCTTCGTTGCCGACGGGCCGTTCGCTACCATGGCGAAGGAGAAGCTAAGGAAGGCCAAGCGGCATGAAGGGGACGATGAGGATCAGATGCACAAACCCACCGTCATAGATGGGTTTGCCAGCCTGGAGGTGTACAACCTCGTTTGTCGGTTGTTGGGTATCAATGGTGTGCCGAATAACGGCACGCAAGGGTTCTGGGAGACTTATCTTCCTTAGAGGTGAGACATGGACTATGCGATACCGATCGGGATTGCGCTTGTAAGTTAATTAGAATACATATTGTACTTCGATGGGAGTATGTGCACTCCTTTCCTCCGGTTCTCTTGTGGTGTGGGCAGTAGTTCGGCATCCTTCTGCCTCTCTTGTCCCCTCGTCATATTCCCTTTAGTAGGAGCATGTCCGCTGGTCTTGCCCGATCTTGTTACATTCCGGAAGCGTCGATCTAGAGCAGAGCCACGGAGGGTATGGAGAGCGATGACCTCTGTGGCTACCCCCCCTTTCGATCCCTGACGCGTCAGACGTCATCATTGACATCAGTTCTCCCTCTTAACTAAGTCTCATCGCCCTCCTTTGCTTACTTTCCTCTAGCCGTTAGAGCGATCGGCCCTGCTCTCCATGCCGTGCACGGAGGAGGATGCCTCCGCTGGGCGGTGATAAAAGCCCCGCATGAACCATCCTCCCTCCCTACCTTGCAGTTGACCTGCATCTACGATTAATCACTTACAACCTACTACTCAACTAATACTCAACTATACGAGAAGCATGTCAAGCTTGCCGACTGCTTCGAAGGACGTGAGCGACCAGCCTGGGAAGAATGCCGTCACGGATCCTGTGATGCGCGAGAGGATGCAGATGGATGTTGACCGCAAGGTGTGTTACCCTCTTCGGATGACGACGTTGATTCTTAACATATCCGTCAGATGCGCTTCTACGGTATCATAGAGGCCTTCCGGAACGGTAAGATGCCCGACAACCAGCAGATTGACGAGACCCTGCGCTACGTCGAGTCCCAGTCTCCGATCGACGAAAGCCAGCTCTCGGGCGAAGGACGCAGGCTGATCGCCGACACTCGTGATATTATCGAGACCGCTCGGTTGATCGTCAAGGAGAAGAATGCGGATGAGCTATTTCAGAACTTTGTGTTTCACACGGCGTATGTCGACCCTGGGAGGAGCAAGATCGAGGGCGACGTACTGCCGGTGGATACGCAAACAGTGAAAGCTGATGGTCAGCAAGGTGAGTCGCTGTCAATGTACTGTTGGGAGAAGTAAATTGACTCGCATATATGTAGCTCTCGTACACCTTCGCACTCTCCTCACCCTATTCCTTACCAACTCTGAATTCCGCAAGCTGCTTAACGACGTCGGCCTCATCGGGCGTGACATGTTTGCCACGGGCGCTGCCAAGATCGCTGAGGCTGCACGTCCCGATGCGGAGCGCATGGCTCAGGTAGATGATGCTGCACCTGCGGATCAGTGGCAGGGCGCAAATGGGAAGGTCCATGGCCCCAACGAGACCCCTGCGCTGCAGGTCAATCTCCCTGGTGGGAGGTCGATCATCCAGCACCCTAAGGAAGACTTTGGCGCTGGCGCGACAGTCCGCGATAAGGACGGGAAGGAGATGAGCGGTGCCGAGGCTGCGAACAAGGTCCAGGCAAAGAAGGACGAACTGGTTGAGCGCGGCACACAAGAGGCGCAAGACGTGCAGCGAGAGGTGAATGGGAACACTACCGCTGACGATACGAGCGCTCAGGCGGGCGTTGCTAAGCGGAGCTTGAAAGACAAGCTTCTGGGCTTGAAGGACAAGATCCCGCAGGAACACAAGGATCGGGTCGATGAGCACAAGGACAATGTGAAGCACTTCTTTGAGGAAAACTTCCCTGAAGAGCGGCGCGATCAGTTCATCTGGCGCATGAAGAAGGTCGTCGTCGAGTGTCAAAAACACGATGATTATCAGGGAGCGATGAACTGGTTCCTCAACTTCCTGGAGACATACCACGCGCACGGCAAGGCCCTCGCAGAGACGGGTGTACGGTCCGCCGGTCACGTCGCGGAAGACCCTGCCCTCAAACAGGCTGTTTTGGAGCTCCGTACCCTCCTCGAGCGCTTTGCGAACAATACCTCGCTCGATGGGATCATCAACGCAACCCAGGACCTGTACAATGATGCGCAGAACGACCCCGCTCTCCGTGCATGGTTCGAGAAGCTCGACGCGTTCGTCCGTCGTACCCTCCTGCAACCCGCATATGTCCTCCAGCCTCAGTACAACGAAGAGGGGCGTGCGCTGCTAGACGAGGGCAAGGGCTTCTTCGATGTGAAGTATCGGGCCCACAAGGACAACCTCTTCGACCAGATCGAGGCCTGGTTCGTTGCCTTTGGCGAAGATAGGCTCAACAAGCGCTTCGGTGAGGACTGGAGTCGCCTCACCAAGGATATCCTATTCGACGACGAGGGCAATCTCGCTTTCAAGCCTCACCTGTGGAACGATATCCGCCATGTCATCCTTCCCCAGATAATCGATCAAGTCGGTTATATCCCCATTCCGCGTGTTGAATACACAGATCCGACAGTTGATCTAGTCATCGAGAACCTCACCCTGCAGGGTGCAAACATCTTGCCAAATATCATCGAGGTAGAAGCCCAGAACTATGTCAAGTTCTCGCCCTACTCCACCATCCCTGATGTGCATCATCACGAGCTCATCTTGACGCTTGGGCAGATGCAGGCAGATATGCGCGATGTCGCATTCTGCTTCAAGAAGAAGAGCGGGTTCCCCCGGGTAAATATCCTCAATACACTACCTTGTCCTCTACTTACTTGAGTTGCAGCTCTCCGATCACGGTCTGGCTGATGTCATGCTCGGCGGTACCGGTCTAACAGCCACTGTGCATATCGCTTCCGCCAGTAAAGACTCGTCCTCGGTCTTCCATGTTCAGAACGTCAACGTGAAGATCGACACGCTCAAGTTTGCCATCCGAGACTCCAAGCACGACACCTTGTACAAGATCCTACGCCCGCTTGCCACAGGCCTCATCAAGAAACAGATCCAGAAGGCGATCCAGGACGCGATCCGTACTGGGTTGGAATACGTTGACGGGCAGCTGGTCACCGTCCGCGACCGGATGAACGAAGCCAAGGCACAGGATGGCGTTTCGCGCACTGATGTGCTGAAAGAGATCTTCCAACGGAAGAAAGAAGAAGCGCAGAGCGTCAAGGAGAGGAAAAGCGAGTTCAAGATTGACACCAGTCGGAACTCGATGCTCCTACCTGATGTAGGGTATGAGAAGGGCTGGATACAAAAGGTTTCTGATAGGAAGGACGCTGCCGCTGCTGGCGAGGGCTGGCACTCTCCTGCATTCTCGATCATCAACCCCAACGCGACGCTCAAATCCCACAAAGTATGATTCTTTGTCTCGTGCGAACAGCGTCTGATTTTCTTGCGATCCCGAACACTCCTCTCTATGGTATGCTTTTCTGTATATAACTTCGGCGGTGTACCTCTACTCCCTCTGTTGTTCCCTATGACGTGTTACGAATTTGACGAGTTGAACCGTAATGGAATGTCGTTGTGCACATTTTGTAGTCGCCGCTTTCCTCAAATCAAAGTGCACACTGAAAACATAGACAAAATGGCTTGGTCTGTTAGTTTCTGTTAGTTAGGAACAAGTACAATGATGTGATGTTGTTATGCGGACCGAGTCTTGCCGAATAGGTGATGAGGGACTCGTCCCGATTTCACCGACGGCGCGGAGATAAGACTTCAACAAAGGTGGGACGTGGCGCCCGTTGTCCCGTGAGCAACAACGACGGGGATTGACACATCACCTAGATCAAGAGCTAATGCAACATATCTGGCGACCTCAACTCAACTGCACGTGATGGCTCTACTCCTGCTCTACACTGTGATTCTTGTGCCTTGCACGGTTCCTCCTATGTCATTCCCTTCTCAGCCGGTCGTCCGTCGTCTCCAACCAGTTATTCCCGTGCTGAAACTGTCTTTGATGCTGCTCCATGTTCTCCTACAGAGCGTCTATCTGTTCCATACAAGCAGACCTGCGGCTTCATTGGGTCTCACATTCTGTGAAGTGCGCGTATCTGCTTGTCTTATGTGACAGTCCGACTACATTGCTCTGGCAATTCAAGTGTTGAAGCCTTTCGGTTGCCTAGTCGATGTTCTGCAACAGTGTACCTGCGGAGAATACCAAGCTTACCATGTCTCTCGGCGTCTCTCTCGCCAATTCAGGTCCTCAAGCTCTTCGGTGTGCGGCCTGCAGTCTCAGTGGGAGACTCTTAGAGGGCGAACTCGAGGTCAAGATCTTCGCGTGGTACTTCATTGCTGCTACGGGACGCTTCCCAGATGGTTTCGTTTGCTGAAACGACCTTGCCTTATGCCGACCCGATTGAGAGAGGGAGGTAGAACAGCCGATTTTGAGGCGAGCCGCTGTTGGGGAGGAGCGACCCTGTCAGTGGGCGGGATTTGCGCTTCCATTTGAAGACTCGTCCAACCCTTGGTAGCCATTCATCGTGAGCCGACGCAGCCACCGGGATTGAATAGGTCTCCAAGCAGCAGTGCAATGTAAATGGGACCTGGTCTGGCTGGGGTGCTGATATGCTCCGGGAACCCCACATTCCCCGGAGCTAAAGCCAATTCTGTGTCACACGCTTGCAAACGGGTGGTATGCGAAGTTCACTTCGAGACAAGCTAATGAAGAGAAGTCTGGGTGGAGAACAATGCAGCTGCCGCCTAAACTGGAATTCCTTTATCATCCTGCATCATCTCCTGCAACTATGCTCTCAACAATAATTCGACTGCGATCAAAACTCGTCCTGTTCCACCACCGCTCTTTCCGCTTCCCCCAGTCCCATACGCGACAAAATCAAACTTCGACAAGGCTTGCAGACGGTGTGCGCAGTGGGCGTGCCCGCTAGGAGTAACCGGACGGAAAGCAGAACCTCGTTAACGGACATGGTCACCGAGTCGTTGTTATGTAAGTGGGCGAGCATGCAGGCTGCACAAGCGTTTGCATTCCTTTTTCGTAGCGCGAACCGGAATAAAAGACTGTTTAGCATCTACCGGATACAACACATCCTATACTCTTCTTTAGTATACGATATTTGACCACCACTTTTGTGTCTGATGGGACGCATCCGGTCGCGGGTCGGCATGTTCTTGTTGCGGCTGCTTTTTCAAGTCCTTCAAAGGTAGGTTTGCCTTCGAACCTGGACTACTTATCACGTAAACTGTAGCCATTTCTGTCTAGACCAATTGTCCAGCCACCGCAAAGGAAATTGAAGCTTACCATGTCATCTATGTTCCCCACCTTACAGAGGTTTTTTTTTTCCCCTTTGATATTTGCGTAGACGGAGTCCCCACTCTCAATTGTTTCCGTGCGGGCAACCAAGCCTTCGCATTCGATGTTCCAGATATGGGATCCGTGCAGCCCACGCAGATTTCATTGCTACGAAAGCGAGGCGGGCAGTTTCCCGTTGAAGGTTGTTCCGAAGGAACCTAGAGCTTGATCGGGTCTCTCCGGAATATTCTTTGTGAGCCAATGACGGCGCAACATAGTGATACTCTAGTTGACAGCAACAATGATGATGACCTCGAGGTCGGTGAAGTGCGCCAAAAAATTCCTTGGCGCTTACCTAAAGCTCAGGGTCTATTCTTATTCCGCCAAAGGTGCAGCGGTGATCGTCACTCGACATCTTCCTGCGCGACGACTTCAAGCTACAATGGCGGCCCCTATCTATCAAACAGCATCAGGCCGACTGTGGCATGCAGGCATGCTGATATTCACTTATGTTCTATACCGATACTGAGTTGTCTTTACAGGCAAGATCCTCATTGTCACCGTCGGCCTCCCCGCCAGGGGGAAAACGCATGTCTCCCGAGCCTTAGAGCGGTATCTGCGCTGGCTTGGGGTCAAAACCCAAGTTTTTTCCCTAGGCGACTATCGGAGGAAGCATATTGGTGGTGCGAAAGCTCTTCCGAAAGACTACTTCCAGACGAACGAATGGAGCGAAGAGACGAAGAAGCTGCGCGCGAGCATCAAAGGCGGATGTGAGGATATGATACGAGCATTCTTTGGCCCAAAACAAAGGGGCCAGGTCGCCATTTACGATGCGAATAACGGGACAAAACAAGCGAGGAAGGAGCTTGCAGATGAATGGACTGCTGAGGGCGTCCATGTTATCTTCTTAGGTGCGCCTCATCAACCTGTTCATCCTCACATCATCAACTCATTTGTGAACAGAGTCTGTCTGTACGAATCAAGATATTGTAGAAGCAAACATACGATCTGTAAAGATCTCGTCCCCAGATGTAGGTGTATGCTCCCATGCTGTTCTGATACGCATCTGAGCATTGGCAGTACAAAGGTTGGGACCCCGAGAAGGCGGTCGCTGACTACTGGACACGAATACGAGAGCATGAGCAGTATTATCAAACAATAGACGAAGAGGAATGGGCCTGGATCCAAATTATCAACGTCAGTATATGCTGAGCTCTCATTCACTACTGACTCTAATGCCCATCAGATCGGAGAGATGATCCGCATGAATCGCGTCCAAGGCTATCTCCAATCTCGAATGGTGTTTTTCCTCATGAACATACATACCAAGAACCGCGCGATTTACTTTGCGCGCAGCGGTGGATCTCTGATCGAGCATTCGTATAAAGCAGATGCGGATCTCTCTCCTACCGGTTGGGCGTACGCTGAACGCCTGATGGACTTCGTCCTTGAGCGACGACGCGAAAGTGTGGAAGAACGGCGACAGCAAGATCAAACAGCGGAGAAGAACAAGCTTGTTGTGTGGACATCGACCAGGCGAAGGTCACATCATTCTGCGTGGCCGTTCCAACAAGCCGGATTTAAGGTGCTCCAGAAGAGTCAGATGTGCGAGATCAACCCAGGCATATGGGACGGCCTGAGCCCGGAAGAAGCGATGGAGCAGTATCCGGAGGAGTACGAGAGGTTCATCAAGGATCCATATGCGTTCAGGGCCCCGAGAGCAGAGAGCTACCACGACTTGTCTGGTGTGTATTGCTACCTGCCAATTGCGAACGCATCACTGAGGTGCATTGTTAGTCCGGCTAGAGCCTGTCCTTGTCGAGCTCGAACAGTCTCAAGACGATCTGCTGATTGTCACACACTCTTCTGTAATCCGCTGCCTCCTTGGCTATCTGATCGGCCTACCTCCACACGAAGTGCCTGCAATTGAAATTAACCGCGGTGATTTGCTGGAAGTCGTTCCCGCCTCGTACGGCGTGCGCAGCCAGACACTTCAATTTTGGTCCCCCATGCAAGGCGAAGCGCAGGACGGACAAAACGCGCTGGAGGACTTCAAGGGGGAGAAGGATCATCATCATCATCCAGTCGCGGAGCCGGGTACAGTGGATATTACTCATGTAGCGGGCGATGAAGGTGAGGACCGCCTCGGAAGGACACTCGGAGACTATGTGTACGCCCCAAATATCGAGGTAACCACGTCCACGCCTCCCCTAGAAGAGTCGCTGGGTGTCGCGTAAGTGTGTGCCTGCCAGCATTCAGCGGCTGGCTGCTGTATGGATAGAATTGAAGTGTTACTAATAATAACGAAAGCCCAAAGTGTTTGATCATCAGTAATTTAGGGTCCATTAGCATTCAGGGCAGGGTTCAGGGGACGGTCCGGCGCCGTTAACGAGAGCCTTTGAATTATTTGTTTTTTGTGGTTTCCCGTCCCTGTGGCTGGTTGTGAAGAGGGAGAATCGGAGCTGTGCCTTTACCACGTGAGCAGATAGAATTGTGGCCGCGCAACCGTGAGATGGTCCCGATCGCCTCGACTTCGTTGTCACATCCATTCATCGATCGAACGCTTTGCCAATTTCTAACCGAAACCGTCTCTATTAGGGGCTCTCCACCTTTTCCTGATGGATTTGCTACGTGGAATCACACGAAATTTCCCGATCAGATGTATTATCTTCAGTAACTGCTCCCATGCTTTTCTGTCGCAGCTCCTCTGTTGATTCGCCTCCGACATGGAACATGCCGCAATACACTAGTGCGTGTTTACTGGCAGGCTGTCACTCTCGAACCGCACAAGGAGTGGGATCCCCAAAGTAAAAATGGTCCCCCGATCCCTCTCGCCGTCTGGCCCTCGGTGATCGCTGCAGGCCGGTCCCCGTTTGGCTCACGGACCGTGTGTATACTAAGCACGTACCTGGCTTCGGCGTCTATACCTTGGACACGGTCTGTACGGTATATAGGTCACCTTATTCAGGACAGGCGTCACATACAGGGTGTCAATCATGCTCGCTGGCCTTGCCTGTATTTCTCTCGCGCTGTTCAACGCCGTTGGAGCCCAGCAGATCTGGGATGTTGTACGCTAATTTCATCTACTCTCTTTCTAATCTTACCAGCATTTTCCTAGTGGGAGACAGCGAATGATCAAAGCGTCCTTTTTGAGAGACAGTTCGGTGATGTGCCCATCAACTTCGTTTCCCCCGGGCCGACTGGAGACGCCGACATCGTTGTCGATGATGGATCAGTTTTCCAAGATATCGATGGATTTGGCGCTGCCTTAAGTGGGTGAACTACTTCGTGGGCATGGATAAGCTTATCATCTTCCTCCAGCCGATTCTTCCGCCCAGATCTTGAACGACCTCAAGAACCAGGATTCGGATGCGTACTGGAACCTCTTGGGCACCCTATTTAACCGTGTGCATGCTTGATTCCTTTTATCTATTTATATCTGACTCCCATACTAGCTGCTGATGGTGCTGCAACCGCCGCGCTCTCTGTGATCCGTGTTCCCCTGGGAGCTTCAGACTTCAGTCCCTTCCTGTACAGCTACTGCGACCAACAGGATCCTTCACTCTCTTCTTTCAGTCTCGATGCAGCTCCCTTCTACCTCTGGAGCACACTGGCGGATATACAAAGCGCGGCCCAGGGACAGCTTAAGATCTTTGTAGCTCCCTGGTCGGCCCCAGCATGGATGACAGAGGACGGGACCATGCTCGGATCGACATTCGATAGTCAATTTACAGATATTTGTGAGCATTTTTGGGAGCTGTAGAATTTGTGGCCCTAACGTGATAACAGTTGCTCAGTACTTGTTCTTGTCGGTCCAAGGATTTGCAAATAAGGGATTTAATGTGTATGCAATCGCCATACAGGTACGTTCCTCGACACGAAACGCGGCATAAACTCTATCTCATTCTGCACACCAGAACGAGCCCGAGAACAGCAACCCCACGGTGCCTACCATGCTGCTTGACCCTGACACTGAATCCGCAATTGCCTCCCAACTACGTTCCTTACTCGACAACGGCGGGTTTGGGAGCACAAAGATTGTTTCGTATGAGCATAACTGGGACCAAGCGGCATTCTATCCAGTGACGGCCGTGAACGATGCACCCCAAGCCTTCGCCGGAGCCTCATTCCACTGCTATGAAGGCAGCGTTACTGATCAAATGTCGTTCTTCGATGCAGAACCTGGGAAGGAGCTTTACTTCACCGAGTGCACAGGCACGATCGGTAGCGACTGGTGGGAAGACATCAAGTGGGACACGGAGAACTTGTAAGGGAGTTTCCTCCTAGGTCTCTTATACACGTTAATTGTTGTTCAGGGCCATAGGGGCGTTGACGTACTATGCACGCTCGGTAATATTATGGAACATTGCGCTGGACGGAAACGGTAACCCGAAGGTGAAAACACTTGCTTTGACACACGATCGGCCTGTTGACAACACATAATAGCTGCCCGGGGGAGATTCCTGCCAAGACGGCTGTCGTGCTGTTGTCACCGTCAACTCCGATGGCTCCTACCAGTTTAACCAGGAGTGTGCGTCCCCCTCTCTCCAATGATGATGCCAAAATTCATGAACAAAATCAGACTATGTACTTGCCCATGGCTCCCGAGCAATCGTACCCAAGGATTCGGGCGGGGTAAGAGCCTCTTCAGAGTCGCATGCAGGAACTAATGCCTCTTTGTAAAGCCCTTCGGCCAGCGGATCGGCGTGTCTGTAGGTGGGCCGCTAGCGACCAAACTTCAAGTTGGAGCTTACAAAACCGGCCGTGCTGCCTCGGCTGGAACTGATTGGAATCGCTATTCATTGGTTGTCATGAACTGGTGGGTGTAATTCAGTGCGTTTCTGCACGACGCTGACGGGCTTCGTAGGCAAGATGGTGAAAACGGTGGGTCTGCCAGTTCTGTGCAGACGACTATCGAGTTCCGAGGCCAGCAAGGTGAATTTCATACTTACGTCGCTAACTCTGATTACTTACTTGTGGCTCAGCGACATACAACTTCCCGGTTGGCCTCACCACGCTCTGGTGGTTCGCAGAGAACTAGTAGACAAGATTTTTCTTCTTACTTCGCTCCCTATACACGAATATTAATGACATCCGGTATAATGCAACTTGAGGGCGGAATTCTCTGTCTTAACACGAAAAGAATTTGTGCCGTTGCGAAGGTCATTGTTAGAAGTGACATCTTAAGTTAGACGTTTTGAGTCGGGCTGAGGTAACAAGGTCCATGATACACGGCATAGTTTCATGGCGATTTCCATCAGCAGTTCTTGTGAGCCGAACACAAGGAAACAATCCCGAGACGGGAGGTCAGTCTTACTACTATGCCCGACTATTCAATGTCAACTATGATCCCTTGATACAGAGGCGTGTCGTCTACGAATGTGACTAGCCATGACTGACAGCACACTAAACGCTGCAGTGGCCATCATCATTCCCCCGACAAAAAGTGTGACTTTGCCAAATCCATGACTTCCAAACTTGAAAGTTACTGGGGTCGAACAGTGCAGCAGCGATGATGGGACCAACGATAGCCGCTACACCTTTTACTGCTGCAAACGAGCCGAAGATCGCACTGGATGTTGTTGAGGAAGGACCGACCATGTCGATTGTCACTTGGGGTACGATAGAGCTGAAACCTCCTGCCATGGTACCAAAGATCACCACAAACACGAACACCGTTCCAAGGCTGTTGGCAAAACCCCACAGTAGATATGCGGCGATAGCTGCTCCCAGCGCGGAGACCAACATTACTCGGGAATATGGCATTCGGTCGCACATCCATCCAATCAGAACCTGGCTGAAAACACAGAACATATTGAACACTGAGAGCATGAGCTGTCCATCAAGCGGCGGAACTCCGAGCAGACTTGTGTAAGTCGGCATGTACAAGTTCACCGGAAAGTATGCAAGTGATTGCACCAGAATTGTGAGCCCCTCCAAGTTATGAGCACCATGGAATGTCACACAGTGGGTATAACACTTACAACGGTTGCAAAAATCGGACTTTTGAAATACGACAGATCCACAGGAGTGCTTCGCACCTGCCTGACCGCTTGGATCGGGATTCGCGGCTTCATTGAGAATTGCCCATCCGACGAATACGGCAAAGACAAGTGCCCAAATTCTGAATGTCCATCTGAAGCCAACTTTCTCGAGAAGCAGGCCGACTAGAGGAGGAAAGGCAGCACCGCCAATCCCAGTGCTGCTCTGAATGGTGCCACCTGCGACGCCACGTCGTTCAAGGAACCACTCATAGATCTAACACGGATCAGTTCAGTCACCACCGAATAGCAAACAAAACAATTGCGTACCCACAGAAAAACAGGCGTGTACAAGATCCCACATGAGATGCCGACGAGCACGCCTTGGAGGATGATTAACTGCCAAAAGACCTTCGCAAAGCTGGACAAAAGGAAACTTGCAGTCCCCAATGCCACTGCGCCCCATTGCATTGGACGAATCCATCGAGGATGACGTCCCATGAAGGCGGGAAGAAACATTCCAGACATGTATGGAATAGCCAGGCCAGTAGTGCCAATCGCTGAGAGAGCGGACAGGGGCGCGCCTCGGCAGGGAGAGTCAGGCGAGGAGGCGTAGTAGTTTTGAAAGACGCCATATCTAGCATTTAGAACATGAGAATGCGCAATCAGAGCAAACTGGGAGACAAACATGAAGGCAAATCCCCAGACAGACATTTCCAAGATGAAAGCCGCCAACACGAGAAGCCAGGTGTCGCGGCCTCTGTCGAAGGGCGCTAGTTCGGAAGTCAACGTGTCTTGGACGGGCCCTACAGTTTCGACAGCCCGCTCACACTTATCCTTGGGCGCAGAAATGGTCTGCAGCTCTATGCTGTCAGACATCTTACCAGGATATATGCGCCCGAAAGATGGAAGAATGCAAGAGAGGAAAACTTGAATTTACTGACAAAGACGGCTTGATCCATCGGGTTCCGCATCGGCTTCTGTGGCTGTCATCGATGTACAGATCATCAATCACATTTCTGAGCTAGGTAACTCTGACGACCAAATGAGAGAAACTCTCCTCACCAGCCTTTACATGAGGTCATGAGATAGGACATATCTATATCGTACTTTGTTGGCCTTCACACCTTCCACCGCCTTCTTACACTCCTTCGTGGGCAGTTCTAGGCTCTCAATTAGCTCGGACAACTTAATGAGAAGAGGCAAGGGAGGCGTACCCTCCATCCAAGGCTTGATCCCCTTCTTTGCTGCGAGGGCTAGCATTTCCATTGCTTCCTTCTTGCATCCGAGATTGGATCCTCCGAACAATGCAGCCTACCAAATGGCCTCAGTGATGTTGTCTTTGGTCAAATAGAGACATACGTTCGCTGTGAAGTCCATGCCTGACAATGGCGGGAAGTCATCATCAGGTAAACCGACCGTTACCAGTTTGCCGCCCACCCACAGCATGCTCCGGAATGCCTTCAAAGGCATCGTCTTCACGCTGTCCCTCGTCGAAATAATGAGGTCGAGCGTATCTCGATATTTTTCTGCAAAAATGCCGTTGTCGTCGGTGATGACGATGTGGTCGGCGCCCATCTGCTTGATGTCGTCGACCTTTGACGGAGAGGACGAGAACGCGTACATCTCGGCACTAAGGGCTTTCCCAAACACTGCACCGACATGAGCTCCCGGTCACAAACGTTGGAACGAGACGTACCGATGGCATAATGTCCCAACCCTCCGATACCGACTATGCCGATCTTCTTCCCAGGTCCGGCGCCGTTCCTCACAAGAGGCGAATAGACGGTCAATCCAGCACAAAACATACTCGCCGCATGCGCGGAAGATAGTCCGGCAGGGATGGGAAAGACGAACCGCTCGTCTGCACGGACAGCGGTGGAGTAGCCACCCGTAGTTCGAACCCCGTCCGAGTAAGTGCCGTTATACGTCTCAATCTGGATCAATCCCCATCAATTTCAGCATTTCAAAGTAAAGGATGCAGAAGGGACTTACCGAATCAGGACAATATTGCTCATTATCTGTCTTGCACGCTCTACACTCTCCACAACTCGCGATCTGCGCTCCCACCCCCACACGATCTCCGACCTTGATTCCGCGCACCTTCTGCCCCACTTGCGTGACAATTCCTACGATCTCGTGCCTGACAATCATTGGACGCTCAAACTCACCCCATCCTGCGGTGATCGTATGAACATCAGACCCACAAACGCCGCAGTGCGTGATGCGCAGCTCAACGTCCGTTGGAGAGAAGGTCTTGGGCTGGAAGGGAATCACCGAGAAATCGCTCTGAGGAGTCGCATAAGTTGCAGATCTCGCAGGGGGAATAACAAAGTGAGAACCCATTTAGTTGGATCCTGGCTGGTTATCGCATATCCCTTGAACTCGACCTCAGACGTCTGAGGAGTGGTGGATGCCCACAACCACGATAGCATGGTCCAGTGTTGACTTTTCTGGGCTTTGACTGTTGAGGAAGAGCACTTCACTCTTTTGCCGGACTATAATGCGCATTGTCTGCTGTGTGGCCACTACTCTTATCTTGTTAGATGTGGGAAAGCGTCGTTATCTGGATAGGCAAATTCCAAAACAGCAATCGGCGATAACAAACAGACGCGTCAGTCTCTTATTCCCGACTCTGCTACGTTGAATACTGCAGTACTTGCATATTCTCGGGCCCGAGCGCAATGATTCTATGCAATGCACCCATATATGCAATGCAGAATCATCTCAATATCTCTTTAATGAAAGAATATCCTTCATCAAATGTCCCTCTTACCCATGATCATTGCATCGTGCTGTGCGCTTGATCCGCGCCTTCAATCCGGAGCATATCTGGCAATACATACATATCTTTACCAAATCAGTTCAAACTTATTCCTCCAGTGATCTTCCTAAATTTGATTTGCCCAATTATGCCTCAACACGTGAGCGAATTCATGGAGTGATGCATCTCATCCTAGCCTGTGAAATATTTCGCTTCATGTTCTTTGCATCAGGCAGCTGAGAAATGTACTACATCGTACATATAAGCTCATGACATCAGACTGAGCATTTAAGGCTCTTCAATTTGGGGATGTGCCAGAGTTTGCATCCTGGCGACATTTTCAGCAACAACTCGCATCTCACCACTTCCTACTCGGGCAGTCGCCAAGGTCTGCAACCTGACGGTATTTTCACTTCAAACCATCTGCAGATGTCCTGCACCTAATGCTTCAGGAGAAGCAGGGTCATCGCCGAGAATCCAGATGAAGACGGGAAAGAAAACCAGTACAACTATGCCGAGCAATCCTAGAACTGGATTAACAGAGCCGCATATGCACAAGTGAATCTGTTACCTGCTGAAGCAAGAGCGAGCTGAAACCCACTGAAAATGCACTTGACATAGGCAATGTCGTCTCGAGCGTCGTCAGAAAACGGGCATCCAGGACTGAGCGCGAGCATCCACTCTGTAGGCAGTATGAAGGTTCTTTTCGCAGTTAGACATGATCTAAGCAACTTACCAGATCCGGCCTTACAGTTGACATGGCCTTTGATCATGAAGATGAAACACACTGTGGTAATTATCTCAATGACTCTTTCCAATGTCATATTATCCCACTTACCCAACCATGCTATCAGTCCGGCGAAGTCAAAAACACTGATAGTTGCAGTTGTTACTCTTCCACAAAAGGTCAGTGCAGGCGCGCTACCTGAAGTGAAAAACACCTCACCCGGTCAGATTTGAACATCGGTAGAAGAGGAGGGGGAACTGGAGAGCATGCGCCACATACACTGGATGTGACTCATTCAGTAACGCGCTTTGAAAAGGCAGAGAGGAAAGACATACTGGCGACCACCCAGGTCGGGAGAGGGCCTTCCAACCAATGCCGATAACTACAGCCATCCCGAAAGAGGCTTGTTGGAGAATGAAACCTGTCAAACTCAAGCGACGACGAGTGGTGGTGGGTTCGACGCTTGGAAACATTTGATCGTGCGATAGTGGAACAACTTGAACTGGGTTGAGAGGGGAGACAAAGTTGGAATGACCCCTTGCGCAAAGCAAGCAGCACTTATAATGACGCGGTCTGCCTCCGGAAGAAATGTGGCGTGTGTGTGACTAATACTTGAAAAAGAAAGATGTGCCGAAATCCGGCAGTGTGGTAGACGCATGTTATGTTGCGTAAGCGAAGTTGGGCGACCTATGTCATTAAGCATAGAGACATGGTGCGGAAAACCGGAATCAAAACAAGGATACGTGCGGCTGGTGATGATGGTGATGAGATATAAACCTCAGAGATAGCACTGAAGCTGAGGGTCCAATGACCAAATAGCCTAGAATAGCCTAGTCCGGAATATTTGGGGTGGGTCAGGTGAATAGGGGGTACAACAACAAAGGCCAAATTCCAATGGACAAGGGAATCTACTTGTCCCTTGATGAGTCATTAGGACCAACTCTGCAAAGTGTCCAAGAGGACACACCTGCCTTCCAATTGAATTGGGGTTGTCATCACAATTCTCCATGTGGGGGAAAGTTGTGTGACAGCAGTTAGGCACAGAAATCTGCCAGCAACTTCAGTCACTTGTAGTAAACTGAAGTGATTATAGACCATTACTCTGGTGTATATCTAAGCTGACCAATCATTGCCCAATATCAAAGCCACCAATACCCACCTTTTTTCAGGGTCACCCTCTTATACACCTCAAAATTTCAGTGTACTTCTACACCAAGTACTAGTATCTGGGTGTAGGATAGAATACACCCAAACTTTTCAGTGTTCGCTCAGTGTTCTACTACACTGAGTATCTTGGTGTATCTTGGTGTAGGATTATCTCTAAATTATTCCCAGGTACTCCCCACACTTTCAGTGTTATCATTCATCTACACTGAAATAGTTTGATGTGATGACTTGACTACATACACCCTTAAAGCATGGCAGTCATGGTCATTGTCCTTGTGTACTCCATACTCAATGTAATTGTGTACTCATCGAGATATACACTCTTCTTGTCTGTCATGCAATCTCCACCCCATTGAAGGCCTTGACCTCCCATTGATCCTACTGATACATCAACCTGACAATAATGCTTCAGAAAGAGAGCAAGCTGTATAGAAGACCTGGAACACCCACACAAGATTAATTTGAATCCTGAATGCCTAACTCAAGAATAATTTGATCTTTGAACTCAAATTATCTGGCATCAAATTGACAGTATTCTTGTATGACTCTGACAGTTGCTGGACAAACACACCATTCAATTGTCATCATGTCAAAGTGTATTCAGAGAGTGATTAGGAGAAATGGTAAGTAACTGATAGTACATGTATAGCAGACTGACTTTGCACAGAAGGACTATTGAAGATGAACTATGAACAGGGTCACAACACTTTCAACAATATTATCTATCCACCTACCTACAATCAATCCACATCTGCTCAACCTGCTCATTATTCATTTGATGCTCCTGCCCAGTCTGCAATGGCTGTTCCTCCTGCTCCGCCCACTCTGGTGTATCTTCCACTGCCACTTGCCATTTGCAATCACTGCACATTCAACTGTCACAATTTGCACAACAATTTAGGGAACACACACAACTCGCAGAACTGGAACTATAGCAACAACAACAAGAAGCACAACAAAGCCAACTTTCTAGGGGAGGGACTGACTGGATTGGCCTGCTGAAGAAGATGCTGTGGAAGTGTGGTCACAGCAATGTTATGTAGTGAGCACTTAGTATCCCTTATATGGCCTGTATACTGACTTACCCCAAGATATATCCTATGTGCAAACACTGGCTGCTATATGGTATACTTACCTACAAACACAATGGATGGAACTGCATTATCTGGTGAACAAGTTGTTTGTACTGTACCTGTGCCATGATGTATGCTTTCATAGGAGAGGTTATGAATCAAATGCATGGATGGAACAATGTTATCACCTGAAGAAGACATGGTTCAAAAAATGGTTTATTCACACATGAAACTAAAACTACACTGTGTTAGATATCTGTACCTATCTGAGTGGAAAGGTGACAAATGTTTGACTGAGGTATACACTGGTGTGAGGGTCTATGGCTGACTGGGATAACACTGAGTGACTGAAACAACTGAAATTTGCACATCCAGCAGGGACATGCAGATTGATCATGGGTAACACATTTTTGGACCTCTCTACGTAGTTAGTTAGGGGCCATGCTGAGTGGATGCAAGAATGCTTTCAATGACATGGAATCTAAATATAAATGTGGAAACTGACAAGTTTCCATTGTGCTGCACATTCAAGTTGGACAGATTCAGCATCAGCACCTTTTCATCTCAAGCTACCAAAGCACATCTAGGGGGGATGTTCCTGAACAATAGAAAGGTGTGTCTGCATAGGTATTGAGATGTTTGACTGATGGTGAACAGATGGAAATGTTCAACTGGGTTGACATCAAATTATCCTACCTGGGAACAAGGTGGCAGGTGGGAAATGGCCCAGCCAAAGCAGTGGTCTCCATGGACACAACTCGATTCCTCTAGGAGGACTGTCAGGGCACCAGCTCATTGCTTGGTCAAGAGACATGACTAAGCCTTTATGACATGGAAGTAGCTGGTATACCTTGGCATGTGCTGGAACCTGCTGGAAGG